GAGATATTTAAAAAAATCAAAATCCGTTTCGGTAATTCGGAGGGGGAATCACAATGACATAGTTGGCGACTCACCCCCTCACACCCCCTGTGCCCCAGCCACCCCAACTTTTAAATCTTAAATAGTGACTCCCCATGTGTGATACGTCGTTGGAAAGCTCTGAAAAAATGCTTTCCAACCATACCAAATAGCATTACATTTAGGTTAGTAATTGTCCACTAACTTTTTTGTTTATGAAGATATTTAAATTAAACTTTCTATGGAAATACTATGAATATTATTATTATTATTTTGCTCATGCGCAATGCCAATCTTCTTATTTATGAAAGCGTTTCAATGAAATTTTATACATAGCCCTTGGAATAATGAGAAATGGGGTGCCTACCGGTATTTTTTCCCGGTCCTTCATTCATATTATTTAAAAATACGCTCGAGTCATTTGCATAATGACTTATTAACGCGTCTGATATTTTATTGACAAAACAGATCCTACTGCCTACCTACCGACAATTTGAAATAGTTCAACTTGAAGGTGATGTAAAGTAGGCATGGAGTTAATTCTGCTCATTGAAAAAACATTTATTTATTTTACAAAAAAAAAGTACGCAAGAAATGCTAAACTTGACAATTCAACACTCTTATACCACATCCATAACCCAAACATTGGCTTCCAACAGATTGGTAAAATCGCTTCTAAAGGTTACGTAGTTCTCATACATTGTTGATAACGTTAAAAGGCATGTACTGGTTTGAGCTGAGGTGGGAGTCCTTGCCAGTTCATCTAATGCATTAAATGAGACAGTAATTGGATTTACGGGTAAATTTAAACCTGTACAAAATCGCATTAAAGAGGGCACAACAATATCGTGTTTCTCGACCGGCTATTTCACTGTTTGTTCCAGAAGGCAATATTTGTAAGTCTGTATCTAGTTAAGATACCTTGAAGCGATAGGCAGTTTTTTAAGTTGCGCGGCAACACTTTGTCCAAAAATTTGAAATTCATCCTCTGTTTTCGTTTCCCTCTGGTCTTCATCTTTTAGAGTATTTGCTAGAACTTTTAATTCTTGGATACATGAAGACACCTCCTTCACTTTGGTCTTTGCTGCCAATTTTGTACGTTTTGATGCCGTTGGCGTATCTTCTGCAGTAGTATTACGAGTTATAATTTCGTGTTCTGTTTCAATAAACTCTTCTCCTTGTTGATCTGCTCAACCAGGTTCATGTCTAGTCTCCTACAAAATAGAAAAAATTAAAAACATTATTGTCGTAGGTACCTCAAAAAGAAGAGGAGTGGAGGGCGATAGAAAGGGACTTCAGCGCAAGATGGAATTTCCCAGGGTGCTATGGTGCAATTGACGGGAAGCACATCAATACCTATTCGTGCTCCTCCTAACATTGGAAGTGAATACTATAATTACAAAGGGCAAAACAGTATCATATTATTGGCGATTGTAGATGGTAATTATTGTTTCCGTTACGTTGATATTGGATGCAATGGAAAAGCGTCTGACGGGGGAGTTTTTTCGCAGTGTTCTATTTATCAACAATTGGAAAATAATATATTACCAGACGGTGGATTCATTGTTGGAGATGATGCATTTCCGCTCAAACATTATTTATTAAAACCATTTTCAAAAACGGAACTAACCACAAAACAGAAAATATTCAATTATAGATTAAGTCGTGCGAGAAGAATTGTGGAAAACGCATTTGGTATTTTGGTCAGTAGATTCAGAATTTTCGAAAAACCAATATCTTGTAAGATTTCCACAATTGACAAGATTGTGCGGACGTGTTGTGTCTTGCATAACTGGCTTCGAACTACATCGGCAAATGTATATTTACCAACAGGGTCAGTTGACGAAGAGGACATTAATCAAGGTAAAATAGTTCTTGGATTTTGGAGATCTGAAATATCTGCTTTAAAAAAACCTGTAATCTTGGGAAGTAACCATTCGTCACAATTTGCAAGAAATTTGAGAGACAGATACGCTGAATATTTTATGACTACTGGGACAGTTTCTTGGCAAGACCGAATGATTTTTTAAACGTATGTACACTATAATTAATAGCGAGTTCACAAAATATTGTAATATTAATGTAATAAAAACAAAAGTTATACTTACCAAATTGGACTGTGTATCTCTGTTTATGTTTACTTTTTTCAAAAACGAATGGATTATTATGAACCACTTCAATTTAGGCGTATACATGTCGTCTGCGCCCATTCCAGAACGGGTTGCCTTTTTTTTTGCAACTTCCTGCAAATTGCTGGACCGTAAGTTTTTTATCTTATTTTTTGCATCTGCAGCACCAAAACCTTCAATATTCATTGCTTCAATTATTTTCTTTAGATCGGCAAGTTTGTGTTCCATAGGCATTCGTGCTCACGATATAGTTCAACAAATTTAACACTAGTATCTTCCGTCCATTTAGATCCCATGTTGCACAATAAGCAATCAATCTTTTTCACTAGAAACACTATGTTACACGAGGGAAGTAATGGAAGATAGTAAAGTAGAGGGGGCAACTCGTTCTACTAAATAGAAACTGTTTCTATTCACTCGACTGGAACACTTGCTGGAACGAGTACTAGAAACCAGTACTGGAATGGTTGTTTACACGATACTTACAGCACTCGGTTTTAGTGGCTCGCACGAGGTACTATTCTCGTGTAACTGAGGCTTTAACTTGGGGCGGCGCTGAATAGGCGACTTCTTTAGGTGATCAACTAAATTACCAAACTATAAGGGTCACGGAAAAGATTTGTATCAAGAAATCTCATTTTTTCCATAGTTTTCAAATATGCTATGGCAGATGATTTCAAGTGCAGCGTTGGTAGCGAAAGACGCCCCTCAATGTAGGGAAAAACACCCCTGAACTAAACCATGAGGACCGTATAAAAATTATACATAAAAAATTCCTTTTTTTGTCACTACTTTAAAATATATCCTGGTGAGACGATATTAAGTGTAGTTTTAATAGTGGCAGACATCTTAGAAGTTAAAAAATTTAGGTATAGTAAATCCCAGCGAGTGCGAGCGTGTGAGAGATAAGCGCGCGAGAGCATAACAAACAATATATATATATATATATATATATATATATATACACCTAGCACTCGAATACATTCTAGACAACCCTCGAGACAGCGCAATGGTCAGCGACTCTCAGAGCGCTGTAAACTCCGTTAATGTATTCAAAGCCGGTACGGGCCAGATAAACGTAGCGCACAAAAGCCCCACAAATCTATGGGACTCCGGCACTAAAGTGTGCATAAAATGGGAAAGTAAAGACACGCGGTAAGAGGGAAGCAAAGCCGCGGATAGGGCGGCGCGAAACGGCAATACCAATACCGAGGTTGCAGTGCAAATACCGAAATCTTACCTTAAGACTAAAGCGCGAAACGACATGTTAGCTCAATGGCAAAAAGTTTGGGATGAGACCACAAAGGGGCGTTTTACACACGCGATTGTGCCGCAGGTACCTAAAACCACCACATGGTGGAGTAGGGAGACGATATGGGCGATTACAGGGCACGGCCCATACAGCCACTCCTTTAATAAATTCAAGCTCAAAAGACAGACACAGCGTACGATGTGCATGCGGAGAGGAATCTTCCCCCGAGCACACATTCTACCATTGCCCCTACCCACAGCGTACCAATGCGAGACAGGTAGCCCAAACTAAGTTACAACTCTCCCAACTAGAGCTGACTACACTAAACCTAGGTGAAATTAAACACCCGGAGGTTATAACATTAGAAACGTTCTTTAAGGAGCTCATAGTTCCAACGGAGGACGAAGACGATTAGGTAAGGTATATTTCACAATCTGCATTCCCCCCTTCCCCCCAAATAAAGTGTTTCCCAAAACTGTAAATAGACGGTCCCTTTACAACCTTTTTAACATGTATGTTTTGTCCCGCTTTTATAATACGATTTTAACTTGTGTAGTAAAAATACTTTTATGTTTCATTTTAATTTCACCATTATATTACAAATTTTATCTCACATAATGAATACAGGTCTTACACTACTTTGGCGAAAAGACGTAAAGAGCATATGATATTTACAAAAGAAAATAACGTATCCAAGCCTAGACGGGATAAGTAACAATATATACACATTAACTGCATTACACTTTATTATGTTATCAAAAATCTCTAAACCTTCCCCATATAGTTTTATTCGTTGAAGTTTTTTAAAAATAACAGCGACTATAGTTTCGGCGTACTGCCATCATCAGGCGATGTGAAAGTTAACAGGAAAACGGTAAATTACAAACGTTGAAGACGAATAAGACGAACATGTTGTTTTTTTAATTATTAACTGGCCGAAGCCAAGTGAAAAAACCTGAAGGGTGGTTAAAACGGAAAGGTTGTCCTAAGTTTCAAGACGAATTATTATCAAGCCTTGTTAAGACAACCATCCGGAGGGTTGAATTTTTACATTAAAGGTTGAAAGTTGGATTAACACATTTCAAAAGAACGGGGGGAAAAAATAAACTTATAAAAGTATTGAAACTATTAAGATGACTACATAAATTATTTAAGTAAAGTTTAAATTCGAGATCATGCAGACGGCATGTCTCGAAATGATTGACAATAATAGTTTCAATACTTTTATAAGTTTATTTTTTCCCCCCGTTCTTTTGAAATGTGTTAATCCAACTTTCAACCTTTAATGTAAAAATTCAACCCTCCGGTTGGTTGTCTTAACAAGGCTTGATAATAATTCGTCTTGAAACTTAGGACAACCTTTCCGTTTTAACCACCCTTCAGGTTTTTTCACTTGGCTTCGGCCAGTTAATAATTAATAAAAAAACAACATGTTCGTCTTATTCGTCTTCAACGTTTGTAATTTACCGTTTTCCTGTTAACTTTCACATCGCCTGATGATGGCAGTACGCCGAACTATAGTCGCTGTTATTTTTAAAAAACTTCAACGAATAAAACTATATGGGACAGGGCCGGTTTTGTCACTAGGCGCACTAGGCGCTAGCCTAGGGCCCCAACTTTAAAGGGGCCCCATAAAATGCAAAAAATTTAAATATAAACAGATAAATGTAAATTCTTTTTATTTATATTTAATTTTAAAATATGAATGAATGTAAAAATCAAATTAGGAAGAGCGCCTCGATTTGGTAAAGGGTAAATGCTTCCGGCGCGTTCCGGCTCAATGACATCGCTGGCAAGTGCAACGTCGTACCTCGTAAGGCTCGTACGTTGCAACGAAACGAAGTGTGATTGTGGGAAGGAGGGCAAGTAGCTGATAGTGCAATTCGTCAATGAGCCGCTGCTGCACGCGTTCGCGTGAAATACATTATACATAAAGTTAAAGTAAAGCCTATATTAATTTATACTGAGTTTTTCACAGTGCTGGAACTTCGAAAGTGCAATTTATTTTATTAAATAAACATTCAAGGGTAAGTAGGAAGTACGAAAGGGGAAGCACAAATTACCTACTTTTAACACGAATATTAGTAAAAGAAAAAGATTGAATCTTACAATATTCATTAACTGTCACGGTCACCTGATCTGTTGGGTTATTTTTAGTTTAACTTTAAATGTTGTTTTAGTGTCGGCAGTATGAAAAGGTCATATGAATCTGGATCTGCCAAACGAAAAAAGCAAAAAGAACGCATTGTGGAACAGGAGGCTCTTAGAAATTCAATGGCGTCATTTTTATCTAACTCCTCTGCTATGACGAGAAATCTCGACCCACCATCTAGTACAAGTATATGTATTCCTGTTCCGCAAAGGCAAAGGCAAAGTACTTCAGAATGTGGAAACCGAAACACTAAAGATGAAGACGACGACGACATTATCGCGAATACCTTGCATCAAGAAACTTCAAATTCACGTCATCATGAGGATACGGGCGATACGGATACGGGGATAATTGTGAACGACTTGAAGCTTGACGATACTAGCCTCCAGTTAGGGGATATTGCGAAGTGGCCAACAGACATTTCAGAAAAACTTATTGGTGAAATCTTGGATAGTGTTCCTAAAAATTTTGGAAAAATTGAAAATTTAAAATCATCCTACGTCGATAAGGAAAAAGTATATACCAGAACTTTTCAAGAGTCAAACTTTTACACCATCAAATCAAATGGGATTAAGGAAAAACGTGAGTGGTTGATATTTTCAGACACTAGTAAATCGGTGTATTGTTTTGTTTGCAAACTTTTTTCACGTTCACGTGTTTCTTCCAAAATGATCGTAGGGTGCAATGACTGGAAAAATATTTGTAGAATATTAACTGATCACGAACGTTCCCAGGAGCACGTTAAATCTATGTGTTGTTACAATAAACGACGTTTATCGTCAGGCCGAATTGATGCTGAGCTGTGTAAACAGTTGAAGTCTGAAGAAAATTATTGGCGAGAAGTTTTAAAAAGAGTCGTTGCTACAGTTAAACTGTTGGGTTCGCTTGGATTGGCATTTCGGGGCACTAATGACACCGTAGGGTCCCAAAATAAAGGCAACTTTTTGACATGTTTGGAATATTTGAGTCAGTTTGATAATTTTTTAAAATCGCATTTAGAAAAATACGGAAATTGCGGTAAAGGGAGTGTTAATTATCTATCCCATAGTATCTGTGACGAATTTATTAATTTAATGGCTAAAAAAACATTAGACGTAATCTTGGATGACATTAGAAACGCGATGTATTTCTCACTTAGCGTAGATTCTACACCTGATATATCTCACGTAGATCAATTGGTTTTAATCATCAGATATTTAAACCAACACGGCGAGATAAAAGAAAGATTTTTGGGATTCATACCCATAGAAGCACATAACGCAGAACATTTGGAAAATGTAATTTTAGGTGCTTTTAAAGAGTTTTCACTAGATATTACCAAATGTAGGGGGCAAAGTTATGATAATGCGGCAAACATGTCAGGGGTGTACTCTGGCTTGCAGTCCCGAATTAAAAAACATAGCCCCACTGCATTTTATGTTCCTTGTACAAGCCATTCGTTAAATTTAGTGGGAAATAACGCAGCAGAATCTTGTTTTGATGCTGTGAATTTTTTTTCTTTTTGTCAAAATCTATTTACTTTTTTTTCGGCGTCAACTCGCCGATGGAATGTATTAAAGAACATTCTCCCAAAAGATGGTGTAACCCTAAAAAAAGTGTGCGATACAAGATGGTCAGCTAGGGCCGATGCTATATTGGCTCTTAAAAAGGGCTACAAAGAAATACAGCAAGCTTTAATGAAAATGTATCAGTCTGAAGACGAAAAGCCTGTAGCGCGCACTGAAATAAAAGGGTTAATCAAACATTTTGAAAAATATGAAACGGCCTTATTAACAACTTTATGGTATAAAATATTAGTGAGGTTAAATTATACAAGTAAAGCACTCCAAGATCCAAAAATTAATTTGTTAAATGGCGAAAACTTATTAAAATCTTTAAAGCAGTTTATAATAGATGTTCGGGATAATTTCATACAAATTGAAGATGAAGCTAAGGTGTTGACTGACTCATGTGTGTTTAATGACGAAAGAGTCCGTCAAAAAACAAGAAAATTGCAAAGTGACGAGACATCAACTAATGAAGTATTTTTGAGAGGTCGCAAAAAGTTTATTACACAAACGGTTTATGTTATTTGTGACAATATAATTAGTGAACTAGACAGAAGGAGCCAAGTTTATACCGATATTTTAAAAAATTTTAAAATATTTTTTGATACTAACTTGACAGATATAGAAGTTAATCTTTCTATTAGTAAAATAAAAGAGGTATATAAAGATGATATTAATGTCGATTACTTTCAAGAGGAAATGTTACATTTTTTAAATTATGCGAAAGAAGAAAATATTACGGATCCGTTTGCTATGTACAAGCATATTAACGATGGTCTAAGATCCACGTTTCCAAACGTAGAAACAATTTTAAAAATATTTTTGACATTGCCGGTTAGTAATGCTTCTGGAGAGCGTGCCTTTTCAGTTTTGAAAAGGATCAAAAATTATTTAAGGAATAGTTTGCTACAAGATAAAACTACTAATCTTTCAATGCTTTTTATCGAATCGGATGTGGTAAGCAGCATACCTTTCGATGACATTATTGATATCTTTTCAAAACAAAAAACCAGAAAAAAGAATTTTTAATGTGTTCTTTTTCTTTTTTCTAGTAGGATTTCTATATTTTTAAGAATCTGCGTGATACACATCGGTTACTGTATCATGTATGTTTTGTTTGTTAGAAACTTGTTTAAAAATAAAAACAGTTAATAAGAGTTTAAATAGTTGTTTTGCATTTTCCCTTAGGTAATCGATTGATTAAATTCGAGATTAAATTTATGGACCAAAACGCTAAATCAAGGGCCTCAATCAACGTCTAGCGCCTAGGGCCTCATGTTGGGTGGAACCGGCCCTGAATGAATTACAGACCAAATTAAAAATTAGCAAACTTAAAAATGTAGTATTATAAATATAAACTTACCAAGCAAAATTCTGGCCACAAACTGTCCACTAAATTTTATAACACACAATTTTTTAAATAATATCATGAAAATGAGGAGTCAATTAAACTATGCCGACAGGTCGAAACAAAGCGATTAAATGATTTGTTTGCGCGGCAAATTACTTTAGTGAAAAACATGACACCGGCGGTGTTTAATAACGCGTCTTATCGTATTCCTTAAGCTGGTCCCAGACGATTCGTGCATTCGGCGAACGTTCGTAATTCGGGGTAGTTCGCGTAGCGTGTGGGAGACCAGTTTGTCTTGCTACGGCGAACGTTTTTCATTCGCCAAAGCTTTCCGCAGATTGTCGGTAAAAGTGTACGAATCAAAGGGATACAAAACGTGGTTCGTCAAGCTCCCACACGGTTCGTTAAGTACCCGTACTTTTAAACGACTTATTTTAACCGTTTTTTAACTCAGTTGGGTGATACCAGTGTCGGAGGTAAGTTGTATAGGGATTATTAACCACGAATAGAATGAGTTCTTGCTTTGTGTAGGTACGATTGTACGAATAGTAAATATCAAATTCAAGAGACATGGAATGGACCAATGAGCGGCGGCAATAACCTCATCTTCGCTATCCATTCTTTAGAACTCAAACACACCTACTGCACTGGCGCGATATCATAAAGTTTGCTAAAATAGTTCGCCAAACTACCCGGAACCCCGAATATTCGTCGAATACGCGTACTGTGTGGGAACCTAAGCGAACACGCAGACGTTCGTGTATTCGCCGAATGCACGAATCGTCTGGGACCAGCTTTAGAAAAAACCCTAGTATGTTCAGTTTCCTATGTTAAAAGCCCGCATCTACTAACAACATACCAGGTTATTGCTAAATTAACCCTCCAACGGCTAGATTTTTTTTTCTTCAAATTTTCAAGTATCTAAAATTTTTTCTGCACAATTATATGTTAATTAAGTGTAATATGCACGTTTTAATTTTTTACGTCATTCAGATTAGTGATAAGAGGGTGTGACCGTATGGTCACACTAGCTTAAAGTCAGTTATATATGCGTTTTAAATTTATTTTCAGTTTACAAGAATACAAATACATTATAATTGAAAAAAAAAACTTATGGTGTGTGAAAAATTGCAAAACAATCGATACATAGGCCTACGTCACATTTTTGACATTGCGTGCGTCCTACGGAGCTACATCCTTCACCTGCACATCTTCGTCGTTTTTTCTCGGGGACCGCCACAATCAAATGATCTAGACGATCATACCTGACATCGTCCGAAATACGGTTTAGTGTAACACTAGTTTTACTAGTAGACGGCCTTCCAGTTCTTTTTGGGGCATTTTTATACCGCAGCAAATACGTTTTGGCAATCTCTCTACGAAAATTTAGATTTGTAATTTGCCTCCCTGTGAGTTTATAAGTGGTCCAAGCGTTCTGGATGGCAGCATCAAATAACCAAGTAACAAGTGGCCAATACCACTTTTTTCCTCTAATGCTAATGCGATTTCTAGCCAAGTCTTCATCCATCCTGTCGGTACCCCCCATATATTTATTGTACATTCCCACGAGATGCGGACGAGGTACTGCTATTATCCTTTTCTCTGATTTTGAATATCGTTTTACTTGTGCAATAGGCTGTATTCCGTATGATGTAGAACACATAGAAACAACGCCATTATCCACCCATCGAACCATCATGATACCCTCCTCCTTCGATATTTTTCCTTCGTATTCTCCTCTTTTCTTTTTTGACATAGAGTTTTTATTTGTAAGTGGACAGTCCGATGGAACACGATTTTCTCTTATCGTTCCAGTGGTTCCATAACCCCGTTCTCCCAAATGAGTCAATAATTTAAAACTTGTAAATAAATTATCAACATAAATTTGATAAGGCAACTGCTTCTGCGGTAAACCATCTAACATTATCACAAGAGGTGCCGTTGCTTTTCCAAATTCTTGATCATAGTATTCATTAGAGTTTGGGCTTGCACCTTGGTAAATGTCAAAATTTATTAGATAGCCATTTTCGGAATTTAAACACCATACTTTGTAGCCAAAACGTATCGGCTTTCCACGGATAAACTGCTTACAACTATGACGACCGTAATATTTCACCATAGACTCATCATAGTTCATATGTTGAGTAGGCTTATAATATTTTAAAAAATTTCTTTGAAGTCTATCTATAAGTGGACGTAACTTCCACAATTTGTCATTGGGATTCATTTGGGTATTGTCTGCAAGGTGGAGAAATCTCATAATTTGACGAAACCTATCACGTCTACAAGCATTTTTGATCATCTGGTTACCCATGTCATCTCCGCTGTCCCAATAGAAGTCCTTTCCTGGTAGGATGTTGTATCCTGTGGCAATTAGAATTCCAATAAAGCATTTTAACTCACTCATAGATATTTTCGGGTCTGGTAAGTTCAAAAACAATGCATATTTTTTGGATTCTTCTAGAATAAGCAGTAGAATATCTTCACTTAGCATTAATTCAAAAAGATCCACAGGCGACTTATCTTGAAATGCACTGTAATCGGGAATAGGAAAATCTTTTTGCATGGTAATGTTACCATCAATCCAAGTTGTTTTGGTGCGACCTTTAGATTTTCTTTTTTTTGGAGGTGATTTTGTTTTCTCCAGTCTAGTAAGGACTTCTGTTGGATGACTATCGATCTCGCTATCATCGTGACATTTCTTCCTAATTTTAGATTTTCGTTTCTTTGGAGTTGGATTTTTTTTCTCGGGTATTTCAGGTTCTTGTGTTCGCTGATTGCCGATCTCGTTATCATCTTTACCGTTCCATCTAATTTCAGCTACGGCTGATAACTGCCTCCTTGACAAATTATCTATAAGTCCGCCATCATCTTCGTTAGCTGAATCTTCATCGGTTTCGACTGCTGCATCCGGAGGTGAAATGAATATTAGAGGATCACTATCGTTGTTAGTGTCCTCAAACACCATATCAAGGGCCTCTTGTAGGCTAAACCCGTGTCTATAAAAGAATATCAATTGAAGCATATATCACGCTAGTGTTACCATATGGTAACAGACATCTTCTTGTTCAAAAATCATATTGAAAATTTTATTCAGTCTATGCCAAGTAAATACTAATCAAAATAGTAGATATTTGGCAATGTAAATGCCACAACAATAAAAGCTTATCATAAAAAGTAAACACGTTATTATACTTACTCAAATCTGATGTCCATGATTTCGATCAACAAAAACTTCAGTCGAGAAAAATACACACAAATATCTACAATTAACTTCAACTGAGGTTATATTGTTTACTAACGTTATATACAGGTTTCTGTGGTCAAAATATTACAACTGTAATGTAGGTATCTGCAATTATAACAGAAACCTACCTCATTTTATGTAAGTACGTTTGCGTGACCATACGGTAACACCAGCCGCTGGAGGGTTAAAGAATACCCGGTCTTTGCTAAGTATAAAAGGCTATTTTTGGCGTTACGGGGAAAACTATTACAAATCACAAAATGTTAAAAATCTAAAATGCGGGGGTTTCTCTTCATGTGTAACATGTTGTATAAATTACGTTTATTCGATTGGTGCAACGATCTCAGTTTTTCAATTTTTGGAAGATACGGGGGTCTTTCTTAGTAGGCCAGTATTATCACATTGATTTTTTTCGTCATCAGCGTCCCGCATACTTGAAATGTGATTATCGTTATTAAAAATAACTTCTGCCACTTCTGGTTGGAGTTCGGTTTCCGTCCGGTTTCTTTTATTACGAATTTCTATGTCCTGCTCTTCTCCTTCTCCTCTGCTTCTTTTAAAATAATTAAACAAATTACGATGGCGCTTTTTAGCCCATTCCATAGGCTGATTAGACGTTGCCATCTTCACATATCAGTTCTAACATTACCTCGAACACCACTAAATTGGAAACTTAACGTTTAAGCCGCGTTTTATGCAAAATTCACAAAACGTAAACATTTGTGAAAAGTCCTTCCTTGAAAATGATAATAACCGCCCAAATCCTTTTAGGAATTCACAACAGTTGTAAATTACATTGCACTTCGGTTTCTGTGCTTTGAGATCAAAGCAGCGCGTTATTATTTCTTTCTTCTAATAATAACAGACTAATCCTTTACCTTAGTACCTACCTACCTGCCATAAAATACACGGATAGATATAGAAATTTCAAGAAAATGTGTCTAGGTATTAGAGATTCTGTTAATCTAGGTGCATAAACGAATTTGCATAAATAGGTCGGCACCGCAACTACCTAGCAAGCATCATAAGTCCTTATTGTTGAAAAATCCTGTCTTGGATGGGATTTGACATTTACTTAGTAACTTAAAATGTCGCATGTCGCAGAACTGAATTTTTTGTTGCAAAAATGGCATAAACCGTAACCCATCTCCCAATGTGGTTAAATCCGCGCCTGGGTCGAGCGTATGCGAATATCTTTTGCAAAATTAGGGAACGAAGAGTGTGAAACGTGTGAAGGTTATAAGTTGCAGGGCCATTAACAAAATAATTTTGTTGAAGGCTGTGAAAACTGTCAGTCATGGAAAAAACATATAAATGCTGCGAATGCATCCAGAACTCTGTATAGAGAACAAAGCAATATATCAACAGATGATACTTTAGTTGTATCTACTGTATGGCTACTGTTTAAATTTGTTCACAGCCTGTAATTATTAAATTATTTCTGTTTTGGCAAGCATTTTGGTTCCTGTGCGTCGTGTGATAGATATCCGCGATGTTCCATTACCTCACATATGGAAGAATTTCCATTCATTAGAGGAAAACAAAAGGAACGAGTTATTGACGCATCCGCCTAATTTCACGGCGTACTGGTGATTGCTGGAAGCTTCAGTGATGAAAGAAAAGTTTTCTGTAGCGTCAGACGACACAGATTTCCTCCTTAGAAGCTTTTCACAAGGAA